GCCTGATCGCCGACGGCGGTCCGGTTGGCGGTCGTTTGCAGGGTGTGGAGGCGGAGGTGCCCGTCACCGACTCTCAGCTTCGGCACCATCATCCCGTAGGTTACGGGGAGAGCTGTTGCGTCTCTGTTGTGGTGTTGTCTTCGTGTCCACACTCACAACGGCGCATTTCGTTTGTGTTGAGGGGGTGTCACGACTTGGTGAGGATGCTCTGCGCTCTTTGCCATCCGAGCGGCGTCATTGAGCGGTGGCGCAGGTGGCCTCGGCCATGCACGCGCTGCTTACCGTATGCGAGGGCGGAGACTTGTGGGATGCGTGATGCACCCTCCGAGGGCGTCGCGAGGCTGGGCCCGTCATCCGCCCGACTTTTTGGAATGCGCGCTTGTGCCCGTCGTGTCCCCCATCCTTTGGTCTCGGTATGCTGCACACCGTGACGGATCGCGTTGCGTCGTGGCTCTGCTGCGTTTACGTTGTGGGCTTCGAAGGCTACTGTCGTCTGTCTCCTGGGTTTCGCCTGCGTCGAGTGCTGTYGGTGGTGCCCGCGGCAACCGGCGGATGTGGACCCAGGGGGGAGAGGGGTTGTGTTCCTTTTGCGCCCCCGTGCACAGGTGGAGGCTTTCCGTCCGTCCGGGCGTGTTGGAAGCGTGGTGCATTCGTTTCTCTCTTCACCCGCGTTTGTCGATGGAGAGATGAGGCTGTTCACTTCGCTGTCGGTACGTTTTCGGCAGGCGGTGGCATCCGGCTGTGGGCCGAAGCTGTCGGTGGTTCCTTCGCGCGCGCCGTTGTTCGGGTAGTGTGGTTAACTTGCGATCTCTGGGTGTGGTGTGGCGGGTGCTGTTCGCAGCCAATCTCTTGCGCAGGTGCGGCGGGCTGTGTTGGATTATGCGGTACCTTGCCGTTGGAGATGGCCTACAGAGGGAAGTTCACCTGCAATTCAAACAGCTGGACTTCGCGGTGTCTCGGCAGCTCATTGCACGTTCCATGATTGTTCGACGTTCTTTTGGTAGGCTGTCCGGCGTGACGTGCCTACGTGCGCCTCGGCCATCGCTCCTTGCGGCTGCTCGTCACACTCGCTACCTGGTTGATCCTGCCAGTAGTCATATGCTTGTCTCAAAGACTAAGCCATGCACGTCTAAGCGTGAACACTTTGCACTGTGAAACTAGTAGATCCCTGTCAGAATGAATGAGCGGTGTATTATCGTTAGCTAGCGAGGCTAGGGTAGGGGGAGGGGTAGTGTATATAAGTAGGGAGAAGGGCAATTTGCAACTGTACGAAAAGCTGGGGAAATCTGGATACGGTGAATGGAAGGGGGATGCTGGAGCTAGGTAGGGCTGTAACGTTGTGGTCTGAACTACTCAAACTAGGCAGGGAAGCGTATACTCAATGGAAGCGGGGTAGGTAAGGGACACGGCACCGATACTATGACAGCAACGGTAGATGGACCGTAAGGGGTGAGTGGGAGTACTGACATTCTCAAAGCAACAGTAGAGGGACATTATGGGGTCAGCGGGAGAAAATACGGGCGTGGTAAATAGAGTGAGATGAGCGCAGGGTAGCAAGGTGTAGCAAGGTGTAGCAGGGGCAAATATAAGCGCGAGCCGGGATAGCTGTGGTACGGGAGTGATTTAACCGGCGATGGATTTGCGGGCTCAGGAAACTACTAGCCTCACCCTTCCTGCTGCCTCCCCCCATGAAGGCTCCCCTATCAGTGTTCAGGGTACCAATGACTATTTCCCGGCTGATAGACGAACCCTCAGGGGGCGGGGAGGTGGAAGGAGGACGGCGACGCTAGCAGTACCCCCTTGACGGCGGCTCGGGCCGCAAGGGCAACGCCTTTCCTTTCCTTCTTGTCTTCGTCCCCATTGTCATGCTTGCCGGTGATGAGCAACCGGACTGTTGCCCCCCAGAATAGATGGGGCTGTGTGATTGCAAAAAAAAAAAAAAAAAAAAAAAAAAAAAAAAAACTGCGAA